GTCTTTTCTAGCCATCCGCCATGGTGGGTGGGTGAAAGACCCGAGCTAACATGGGGTTAGCTCGTTAAATTACAATAAAGCCTCGTGCAGTTTGCAGCAAGCTCTCGAATCCGCCTGGTGATTGGGGTGACCGCAAACGTGGCCTGGGACCTCGGATACTTGAGTTTTCGGGGGTCTAACAGTACGACCCCTTCTTGTACCATGAAAACTAGTCCTCAGGGAATAAACTTGTATTTCATTTGGAGAATAATTGTACTGTGCCCATGGGTAAGATCTGTCTCTTGGCTTTAAACTTGCAGGGGAAGTGTTAGCTAACATACTTTTTAAAAATTTGAATTTTTGATATAGGGTCTTAGTATGTAGTCCAGGCTAACCTTAAACTTGCAGAAATCTTGTCCCGGCTTTCCAAGTGCTGTGACTCTAGGCATGAATTGCCAAACCTAGCCCAACAGTTTATTAGTTAATTATTTTAGGGTTTTGGAGACAGGGTCTCATGTAGCCCATTCAAGCCTTTTTTGTCATGGTCTCTTTTTACTGGTGTTGGGGGATCGAACCCAGAGCTTTAGAGCAGCGAGCAGGCTTTACTGCTGAGTACCCTTTCCAACCACCTTGAACTCACCACCAGATGAAGATGACCTTGAACTCCTGATCCCTCTGCTTCTGTCTCCTGAGACTATAAGTGTGATCTTCCACCACTGATTTGATGATATTGTTTTAAATATTTGAGAGGAATTCAAAGAAGTGTAGAGCAATACACTTTCAAATAACTTAAATAAAATACTTTATTAGCTAGTTTAGTAGACTGTACAAAATATTGGAAGGGGGTTGTAGAGAAATCTGTTCAACTTTTAAAATGTTAACTGGATATGTGTTCAAATGCTTGTATAAGGATCTCATTTTATTTACTATGTGTTACTATTACTTTCACTGATATAAACATATGCAAAAGGAAAATTCATCTTACAGTAAGTTCACTGAATCTGAGCCTCTTGGAACAGTCATGGAGAACAATAACTTGTCTTCATTTTTAATACCTCTATTATTTCAGATTAGATGTTTGTGTTATTTTGTTTTTTTTCTTTTTGGTGTTTTGAGATGGGGTTTCTCTGTGAAGCTTTGAAGCCTATCCTGGCACTTGCTCTGTAGACCAGGCTGGTCTCCAACTCACAGAGATCCATCCGCCTCTGCCTTCCGAGTGTTGGGATTAAAGGCATGCACCACCAACGCCTGGCTAGATGTGGGTGTTATAATTACAATTTTTAAAATTATATCTGGAGTTCTAAGTATTCCTCAAAGCTGAAACAGGAGGATTGCTTGAGTCCTGGAATTTAAGAACAGCCTGGGCACGTAGAGAGAATGTCTCCTCTTACATCTAAAACAAAGATACAAACCACACACACACACACACACACACACACACACACACACACACACACACACTTACATACACACACAGATAGATGCACGCTCACACACACAGACACATACTCACACTTTCTTTCTCACACACAGACACATATACACTCTTTCTCACATATAGACACAGACATACAAGACAATTTCCAGACAGAATGTCCCATTGTATAACACAACTTTATTCGCTAGAAACTTATGTGGTAGAAACAAATAAATAAAAGCACTATAAACCATTCCAAGAGCTTGTGGAACTATGGAACCACTGAGGAAGAGGTGGAGAAAGACTTAGGGAGCAGGCAACATTTAGGATCCTCTGCAATCAGGAATGGCCGGTTCTCTTTCTCCCCACACTTGCTTGGCCTGCTTTGAAGGTTCATTGCACTCTGTTTACAGAAGTTCAGTTAAGAAAAACCAGTAACACAAAATTAAATACAGCCTGGCGGTGTGCATGCCTTTAATCCCAGCACTCAGGAGCAGAGGCAGGCTGATCTCTGTTGAGTTCGAGATCAGCCTGGTCTACAAAAGCTAGTTCCAGGACAGCCTCCAAAGCCACACTGAGAGAAAGCCCGTCTCGAACCTCCCTTCCCCCTCCCCAAATTTAAATACTAATATCTTGCATTTTAAAAGCCTTAACATTTAGTTGTTATTTTTATAATAAATTTTTAAATGAGTACACATGCCCTGAAATATCATTAAGGATTAAAACTAGTTATTCATCTGAGCCACATTGTTAAAGACATTTTAATACTTTTTTTTTTAAAAAGAAAACATCCAAATATATCAAGCTTACCCATAAAATAACAAAACACTACAGCCAAGTTCCTCAGGAACATAGGATTCAAAACTCTCCCTGGAAGGTCACGCCAAACTGCACCATCAACCTATCAATGTGTGTAATACTGAGAACAGACCGGCAATTTATTCGTTGCTATGAGAACACTATTTTGTACCAGACATTGCAGCCTTGACGACGCAGTGTTTTGCGCCTATTTTGCACGTGTTTTCCTACAGCGAGCCCTCTCTCGCGATCCCGGAGAGAGGCCTGCTGGCTTCCTCCGGCAGCGGCCCACGTCCGTTTTCGCTCCAGTTTCCCTGGGCTGCGCAGTGGCTCCGCTTAGAGGGCGACCCAGGGGACGCACCGGGCCTGGCTGGCGGGCGAGCGGGAGGGAGGGCAGCGGGCGAGCGGCCTTACGGTTGTGAATGGGCCGGGGAGAAGCCGCGCTCTGCACGCGAGCTCTGCGCAAAAACAATACAAAACCAAACCGAAGCAGCAGAAACCGCAAATAAGTAAATAAATAAATAAGTAAATAAACAAATAAGCACACAAACGAGGCAGCCCCGTCCCCCGAGGGGGAGCGCGCAGCGCTTGAACTCTCAGGACGGTCACAAACAGGCCAAGGCGGGCTCCG